TTCTATATGGGAGGAATAGAAAGATCAGGTCAGCTGGAAAATAGAGTGAATGAAGTGAGGCAATGTATAATAAGCCTAGAAAGGTAGGTTGGAGCCAGGTTGTAAAGGGCTTTAAATGTCAAAGGAATTTGTATTTGATGCTCAAGGTAAAAAGGAGGCACTAGAGTTTATTGAGCAGGGGAGTAACATGGTACGTATGACTTGTGATTTTAGAATATCAAGCTTCTATATCCCCTCCTCTGACTGGTGAGTTCTTGCCAGGGTCACTATTTCATAAAAAGCCCAGGCCACCCATGCTCTGCTCCTGACTATCCAGACTTTTCAACGAAATTTTCTCATTAGAAAATAAACTTCTCTTATTAGAATATAAGCTCCTTGAAGGTAGGAACTGTTTCTTTGTATTTCTATTCCTAGCATTTAGCTCAGGGGCTAGAACATTTTTGTTATTTAGTTGTTTCAGTCATGTACAAATCTTCATGACCCAATTTGGGGTTTTCTTGACAGAGAAACAGGAATGGTTTGCCATTTCCTTCTCCAGTTCATTTTACAGATGAGGAAACGGAGGCAAACAGGGTTAAGTTACTTGCTCAAGGTCACACAGCTAGTAAGGTCAGATTTGAACTCAGGAAGATGAGTCTTCCTGACTCTAGATCCAGCATTCTATCCACTGCAACACCTAGCTACCCCTGGCACACAGTAATCACTTAATAAATGCTCTTTCTTTTTTTCTTTCTGTCTGTCTGTCTGTGTAATTAATTGGAGAAGAGACTTGAGGCATAGAGACCAATTAGGAAGATACTGCAATAGTCCAGGTTAAAGGTGATGAGGGCCTAAATAAGGGTGGATGCAAGATATTACAGAGGTAGAAATGACAAAACTTGGCAGCCAATTGTTTATATGGGATTAGGGAGAATGAAGTATACATGATGACACCTATATTACAAACCTAGGTGAACAGAATGATAGTGTTTCCCTTGGTGGGAATATGGAAGCTCAGAATAGGGTTGGGTTTTGGGTAAAAAGTTCTGAGTTCTGTTTTGGATATGTTGAGTTTTAGGCAAGGATGAACATCTAGTTCAAAATGTCTGACCATTGGTAATGTGGAACTGGAGCTAAGAAAAGAGACTAGGGTTAGCAATATAGTTCTGAAAGTCATCTGCATAAAGGGGATAATGAAATGCAAGGAAGCAGGAGACAGCACTGAAGGACTGCAGAGAAAGGCACACTGGACAGAGCCTTAGGATATATCCTACTGGGGCCATGATCTGGATAGTAAGTTAGTCAAGGAAACAAAGGGGGAGCAGCAGATAGGTAGAAGAACCAGGAATAATTACTGTACGACCAAAAAAAAAATCCAGAGAAGAGAGATTACCCAGGAAAAAGCAGGTGATCAACCGTTATCAAATGCAGCAGAGGGGCACCAGCATGAGAACTTGGGAAAAGGCCTTTGGATTTAGCAATTAAGAGACCACTGTTACCTTGGAGAGCTCAGCATTGGTTAAGTGGTGAAGGCAATTTTACTGAAAAAGGGATAACAGATAGAGGATCATGGTCTGAAGGTCAAGTCAGGATTTTCTAAGTATGGGGAGCCCCTGTCCCATTTAAGGCAGCAGAGAAAGCAGAGACGGTTCCTTCTAATAAGCCTTCCGTCTTTCAATCCTACTGTCAATATGCCCGTGCCTCAGTACTACAGGCTGAAAACCGTGGTTCAGTCCTTGTATCCATGAATCTACAAAACAGTGCGGCAAAATCCCCACTTGTTTACAAAATACGACATTCTGCAGATGAAATCTGCACCAAACATATGTGTGCAGTGATCTAACTGTACAGCAGGTGGCGATCTTGCCTCACATTTAAGCTTTGCTTTTAGTGACTGCGACATACAGCTAGTTTCAACCAGTTTTCAGGCACTTTTACCATTCTAAGCAGGTGAGAATCAAATAACAAGATCCTGCGTAATTTCATTAAATTGCATCTCAGTTTTAAGAGGCCCCTGCTTTTTAAAGGTTGTTTTGTCTTTTTTTTTTTTCCAATCAGATTTGGTATAATGCTTTTATTGAATGTACTCTGACGTACTTTAGGGGGTTGAGGGGATGGGGGCAAAATTGAGAGACTGTTTTTCTGTACTATATTATGTTTCCTACTTGACAAACCAGGATATTAAAGCACAGCAGGGTATATTGATTAAATCTGGAAACACCAAAGTCATATGGTGAAAGTAAAATTCACAGTCTATTTATTTGACAGGATCGCAAAAATTATGATTACAATGAATTGATGCCAAAACTAGATGAAAAGAAATAAAACTATGCAGCAGAAGTGATATGGAGTTTGGAGACAGGCTAAAGAGTAGCAAAAACTCATTAATTTAATATAGACTAATTTAGAAGTGTCAAAAAAGGAAGCACTTGTTATTCCTAGGTAACTAGCAGGGGTTGACCATTTTTTAAAAGGAACCCATTCATATTCTTGAAATAGGCCTTTTTTTTTCCACACATAGAATCTTTCAGAATCTCTGACGTGGAAGGGCCCTTAGAGACCATCCAGTCCAACCCATATCCCAAACGAACCCCCTCTATATATGAGCATCTGTCCTTTGCTTTTAAGATCTGTCTGCAGTAAGGAACCCATCATCTTCAGAGGTAGCCCATTTTTGCTCTTAGAGAATTCACATTGTTTGTTTTTTCTTAAATGAAACTGAATTTCTGCCTCTCTGTAACTTTCTCTCCCAATCATTTTGCTTTCTGGCATCAAACAGGACAAATCTAATCCCTTCTCTACCTGACAGCCTTTGAAATACTTATACCTATCAGGATCATCCTCACACCCAATTCTTCTCTTTTCCAGGCTAAATATTCCCAGTTTCTTCAGCTAACCTTTGCATGGTCTTGAAACCCTTCACCAACTTGGTAGATGCTCTCAAGCTCATCTGTCTGCTTCCTAAAATACGACACCCAGAAGTAAACATAAAACTCAAGGTTTGTTCTGACCAGGGCAAGGTGCAGCAGAATTATCACCTCCCTTGTCCTACACACAGCCACTCAATGGAGTCTAAGATTACATTAGCTTAGTCTGTGAACTATTTGGATCAACTTCTTATGGTTCTCCTTCCAAAACAAACTGCAGTTTTCCCCCTGAAGAACACTTTGGACCCAGTCACCAAATCCAAAGAATGTAATTTGAGCAATATTGTTGAAGTAAAAATTAGTATTGGACTTGGAGTATACAGACTTGTGTGCAAGACTGGGTTCCCCACCTACTGCCTGTGAGACCTTGGAAAAAGACCTTCATCTACACAAGATGGGGTTTGGGTCCAATGGTCTCTAACATCCCTTCCAGCTCTGGATCCTGTGATCCTATGAACTTTAGGTGAATCTCTCAATCTCAATTTCCTGTCATCAAAACAGGGATAGCAGCATTTGCATTGCCTAGGTTTAGAGTCATTGTGAAAATGAAGAAGGTTAATGAATGTATAGAAAGTGCTGTGTAGATTATGAAATGCAATACAAATGTAAAGGATGGCTAATTCTGAATCCTTGGCCTACATTTATTGCCATCGATGCTGGTGTTCTGAAAAGAAGGATGATGTCAACTTGTAGATGATGCAATTAAAGTAAAATAGGTACAAGGGCAGCTAGGTGGCGTGGTGGATAGAGCACCGACCCTGGATTCAGGAGGACTTGAGTTCAAATCCGGCCTCAGACACCTAACACTTACTGGCCGTGTGACCCTGGGCAAGTCACTTAACCCCACTGCCTAACGAAAAAAAAAAGAAAAGTAAAATAGGTACAACAGTAGTAGAGACAGTGTGACTGACAACAGCTTATAGTGCCCAAGGCTCTGTTTTTCTCCCAATGTGAAGATTTTGAAAAGTTCTTCTGACCAGAAGTAGATTCACAATTGAAAATTGTAAGCTTTAATCTGGATGACTGGTCGTTTTGTCAAATATTTACAAAGTACATACATGTGTGAGCACAACACCATGCTCCATTCTATACAGCTGTTCATTTAAAATGATAGAGTTCTTGAACACTGTTCCTTCGACACAGAAGCTAGTTGGAAGAGTCTAGTCCTCCACTGAGGTCCACCTCTGGCATGGAGGTGAATGCCAGGAAGGCTGTGCTTGTGCCCTACAAACTCCAGTAAGTTCTACCAAACTGTGAAGACTTTGCATATAAGCTCAGTCATGGAATAGATGACAGCCTTTTAAAGTCCAGCTTACCCAAGTTCAGAGAGGCTCCCTACTGGACTTTCTAGACAGCAATGCATTTGTTTGGTTTTAACAACTCATGAAGACTGTGCTCATAAAACTCAGGCTGTGAGCTGCATTGATGGAGGCAATACCTATATAAGCAAAATCATGGACCCTTGGCGTATTAAGATATGTAGAATCTAGTAGAGCAGTAGTTGTGATATACACAAGGAATGTCAAATATACAGCCAGCACGGGAGAAGCAGATTAAAATGTAACTGAGAAATACTTAACAAAATAAATAAAAATACAATAGAACATAGGTGGTATTAATAAGTTGTTTTCTAAGTCAACACGTTGTTTGACAATGTACAGTTTCGTGGACCTGTTTCTATTTGACTTTGGTAACACTGACATAGACCAGAATAAAAGGTGTTTTGACACCCACCATTATAAAGTGTTAGAAACGTGAAAATTTCTAGGCCATAACCTCATTTTACAAATGAGGAAACTGAGGCCCAGAGAAAGGAAGTGGCTTGACTATAATTCATAAGGTAAGGGAAAGATTTATCAGTTAATTTATTATTTTCAACATCTTCAAATTACATTTAATTGTGCTGGTTTATGCTCTTATAAATTATAAAGATTCTGTTAGGGAATAAAGATAATAATGTCCTTTCTATTTGTAACCATTGGATGATTTCATTTAATATGTCAAGGCCTAGGACCGAGCAGTTGAAGGAAGTTGAAAAACTTTCAGTAAGATTTGTTGACAGTTCATTTACATCTGTTTCTCTTCTGATTACAGTGGGAGAAACTACAGATGACGACAAGTGAGAGGAGGAAAATAGTCTGCTCTGTCACATTCCACATTATTGCCATTACCTGTGTCGTGTGGTCACTGTATGTATTAATAGATCGGACTGCTGAGGAAATCAAGCAAGGCAATGACAATGGTAAGACAGAGGCTTTCTTTCTCTACTTTATGCACATAATTAATATTTTATCTGCTGGTACCCTCTGACTGTCTGAGAATGGCTAACCAGGATCAAGGTCTGCAGCCACAGTGCCCTAAAGCCACAGCTTATGAGCCCTCACTCATGTGATAATCTTTACAAATTGGAGGACATAAGGAATTCAAATCAAAGGCATTTAATTAAATGTCATAGTAAGCAATGAAGCATTTCTCCCATAGACCTAGGGTGCACTCTCCCACAAATACACAGACTAGCAAAGGGAAGATTTGGTCTTTCTTAGGGAATACACACATTTTCTTAAGGAGGAGCACACATGTAAGGAATTCATAGCTAAGGTACAAGAATGAAGGGGCAAATCATAGCTCCAGTGATTTCTTCTGGTGACTACTCCTTCCTCTCCTCACGCCTCCCGCACCACTCTTTCTTCCCATCCTCTCAGTAGAAGACTTTATTTCATACTTTAATAAGACAATTAGAGGCATTTTCCATGAGCTCCCTCATTTCATCTGTTCTACATTTTAAAACTCTTTGACATCATTCCAACTTCCTTCTTTCTTTATTCCAATATCTGATGAAGAGGTGGCTCTTCTCATCAAGGCCAAACCTCTATTTCTAACTTGGATTCCCTTTCCTCCCATCTCCTCCAGGCACAGTCTATCTGCACTTTCTTGTCTTCAATTTTTTCCTCTCTACCAGTTCCTTTCCTATTGGCTATAGACACAATCACCTCTCCTTCATCTTTAAAATCTTTCATGACAAACTCTCACTTTCTCAGCCAGATTCCTTAAAAAAGCTATCTATATTTGTTAACACATCTTCTCCTCTTAACTGTTGATATTATTATTCCTCCAGAGTTACCAGAGATCTCAATTGCTGAAACCAATGATCTTGCCCCTGTACTCATCAATTTTGACTCCTCTGTAGTATGACACCATTGACCACTCTCTTTTCTGTGATACTCTTTCCTGGGATTTTGTGACATTCTTTGTTCTCCTCATCATCCATATCCTGCCCCTGATTGTGGGTGTACCCCAAGGATCATTCCTAGACCACCTTCTCCTCTCTCTCTTCACTCCTCAATGACCTGCCACAGCTTCTTAACTGGTCTCCCTGCCTAAAGTCTCTCTCTCCAACTCCAATCCATCCCCACATCCATCTGCCAAAGTGATTTTCAGGTTGACTATGTCACTTCCTTGCTCAGTAAAATATAAAGGCTTCCTATTCTAGGAACAAATACAAACTCCTCTGGCATGTAAAGATCTTAACCTGGCTACCACCTTTTAGGCTTATTATACATTCTCTACTTCTCTCACAGGCCTAACCAATCTGGTCTTTTTACTATTCCTCTCACACAAAATTATACTTCCTATCTGCATCTCTGTGCCTTTGCAAAGATTGTCTCCCATGCCTAGCATGCAATCCCTCTGTCTCTTAGAATCATTGATTTCTTCTAAAGTCCAGATCAAATGCTATCTCCATCTCATTTCCTGATTCTTCTAGCTGGTAAACATCTTTAATCTCAACAATTATCTTGATTTATTTTATATATATTTTTATGTGGTTATATTGTATCCCCCCACAGAATGTAAGCTCCTTGAAGGTAAGACTTGTCCAGAAAAGGTCTCATACCTTCTGAACCATACTCCTCATCATATGCAGATATAGCCAACCCAGAGCCTCCAAAGGTCTTTGCAGCTCCTTTACATCTAGGAAAGGGGTAGAAAGAGAATCACTGCGTAATATGTGCCTGACTTGATTGCCTATCTTGCCTGCTTCTAGTTTTAGCTCCGGGAAGAGCATTGAACTTGGAGTAAAAGGACTTGGGGTTAAGTCCTGCTACTTAAAAAGGTCAATGACCTTTTTAAGTTCTGGCCACACTATCTCTGGGGTGGATTCCAGCTCTAGATCCAATGGACATAATACTAACATTTGAAATGCATCAGTCATTTAATCCTCATAACAACCACCCAGGGAGGGGGGTACTGTTATTATTATCACCATTTTACAGATGTGCAAACTGAGCCTTAGACTTGTTCAGTGATTCGTCCATGTGTTTAAGCAGTGCCTGAGAAAGATGTATTTTTGATTTACAGAGCTGGCAGAGACTCTCTAGTATAGTCTAACCCTCTCCAATAAAGAACCGGAGCCTCTGAAAGGTTAAACCCAAGATCACATAAGTGATGGTACTAGAAGTGGAATCTGAACCCAGATCCTCCAATTCTGGCATGATTTCCACTGTACATGATGCTTTTCATACAATGGCTCTTATTTTAAAAGAACATTCTATTAAAGCCATATTATTTTTTTTTAAATGCAAGAAAGACCTAACTTTACAGCAGTATCTCTTCCCTTATTACCTTTTAGGCTGTTCTTATATAACCTGATGGAGTGTTTCAATTCCATAGTTCCTTACTGCAGCTACGCTGAAATTATAAAAACCAAAATCTTACTAGCACTTGGGAAGTTCTACATTTTTTTAAAGGTCCTGTAATAAACTGCCACGAAGAGATAGAAAAGGGAGCCAAGAAAAGGCCTCTATAAAACATTCCATTTGCATTTGCTCCTGAAGGTGCCCTGTAGCACTGAGCCAAGATGGAGTTCTCTTGGCCTCCCATGCCTGCTTTTGCTGCAGAAGAAACAGATACTAGGGTGGGGGTAGTAGACAGGAAGCTTGGCTGAGTCCAAAAGTCAAAATTACCCAAAGAACTTCATAGTGAGACTTTTCAATGTATACCCAGAATTGTCATACCTAGGATAGGTTTCCATCCTGAAGAAAAAATATTAAATCCACCCCACCCCCCAAAAAGACTCTTACTGTTAGCTTATTTATCTCCCTTGTTTTTCTGCAAGTAAAAAAGAAAAAAATATAGCAGAATCTGCCCTCTTGGTGGCAGCAACACATGCTAGCTCGTATCGTAAGCATCAAAATAAAATCTTATTGACGTAGGTGCCGAGTGAATCAAAGTGGCTCCTTTCAGAGCTGAAAGCTCTGACAGCAGCCTTTTGTAAGTGCTAGCTGAGCTCTCATCATTCTCTGAACAAAATGAATCTTTCCAATCCCACCACATGAACTTTAGGTATAGATAGGGATGAAAATCCTTCATTAGCTTCTAGGCCTAGGAAAACAGTTATTCTTGGGTAACTTGAAGTCAAAAGCCCTTGGTTTCCAGATCTGCCTCAACCACTTGTTAGTAATACGGACTTTCTTTCTTCAGTAAAATGAGAGTCCTTCTAATACTAAAGGTTGATTATATATAAAATGAATTGGAAAGAATTTAGATCATGATTCCTAAGTAGCTCCTTATAGGCTTCTCCAAATATTTTGGTTTTGTTTGGAGGGTCTACAAACCCTGGTGAACCAGCCATCTTGGAACCACTCCCTGCTTATTACATAACTAGATCCTCTCTCCCCATCCTACAAGATCTTTGAGGGCTAATGATCATGTTGTCTCCTTTCTTGTCTATCTTATACAGTTCTGAGCATACCAAAAATGTTCCATGAAGGGAGAAAAGGAAAAGAACCAATATAATCTCTGCACAGCCCTTTGAGACAGAAGCCCTGTGGTTCACTGGTCCATGCACTGACTAAAAGGAGGCCTGGTTAAGGGCAAATCCAGCAATTCCAAAGATAATAACATGGTCCTCAGCTGAATCTAGTTGAGCACATCTTAATACATGTTCATCCAGAGCAGGATGTGGGTAACTTCTCTCATCATAGTGTGTGAGGCTGCCTGCCAGTGGCCTCCATGTTTAATTTTCTTCTCTAGACAAATATGAGAAAGAAGGTGGAGAGCAAGCTTTTATTCTTTCAAAGGTTTTCTCCCAGGAATAAAGGTAATGAAGTCAGTATATGTGTGTAGCATAGATTGGAAGCTCCTTGAGGTTACAGACTGTCAGTTTTTTCATCTTTGTGTCCCCAGGGCTTAGCACTGTCCTTTGCACACTGGAGGCAAGTAAGTACTTAGAGGAATACTTCTGGAATTAAAACGAACTGAATTGAATTAGGCTAATATCCTTAAGGTAGCATTTGAGACTGTAGGTCACCTCCTCCTGGATTTTCCTTCTTGGCTTCTAAAACATCATCCCCTCTTGTTGCACTTCCTGTCTTTTCCATGGGTCCTTATTGGTCTTCTTTGCTAAATCCTACTGCACTCTCCCAATCCTTTAAATATGTTCCTCTAGATTTTCTCAGCCCTCTCTTCTTTGTTGGTCACTCTCCCTCTCAGAAATCTCTTTCACTCCCATGGCTTCAGCTATCACTAATTTACATGTTAACTCCCAAGTTTTTATCTCCCACCTGATATCTCTGCTGAGCTGCCTTTTGGGCATGTATCCCATCAGTAACTTCAATTCAGTTTTATCCAAAACTGAGCTGGTTTTCCTGAGACCTGCTTCTTATTCTGTCTTCTTATATGCAGTAAATGTTAACACCATTCATTTGCTCAGTCTCTTAATTCTTTTGATTCCTCCTTTGCCCAAGGCAGCCTAACATACCAGTGGATAGAGTGCTGAACCTGGAGTCAAGAAGACCCAAGGAAGACCTCCTATATGAACTAGCTATGTGACTCTCAACCTCAATTTGCTCATCTCTAAAATGAGGATGATAAAAGTATCTAATTCACAGGGTTACTGAGGATTAAATAAGGTAATATGTGTGAAGCACTTTGCAAACACCTTAAAGGGCTACATAAATGTTAGGGTCATCAATCATCATCACAACGTCTCTTCCTTCTGTTCCCTCTTCCCAGTCCCCTTGCCACCACCTTAGCAGAGGTTATTAGGCAACTCATTCCCACATACATGAACTATTGCAATTTCAATGAATCAACAAGCATTTATTAAGTACTTACTATGTGGCAAGCATTGTCCTACTAGTATTAATACTTCCCAAGCTTTTTTCTGTCATGTCACTCCAATGAATGATTCAATCCTTTTAGTTTAGAATTCAAGACCTTCTACAACTTGGTACCTTCCCAGAC